GCAAAAGAAAGGCTGGATTACTGACAGCTCTGAGCCACAGCCAATCACTTCTACAGCTCCGTAAAAGACACTCACTCACCTTAGCCTCTAGGTATGGCAAAGGTCTATTCTGATAACAAAGACACCAACTCTCAATACACATTGAGTGTCTAAGAAGAAAGCTGCCATAGCAGAATTTAATATCTTTTGGCCAGACACTAAGCAGAGCGCCACAGCTAGAGTGGAGGTTTATATATACATTCTGGACACTTCAGCAAAAATGTCAAAGAGGCAGCCTTTCTCTTTGTTATCAACCAAATAAACTGATAGAAAGTAGAGTCCAAAGTAGAGTCCCTTCTGGCCATCACCTCTTTTCAAAGTTTGCAGAAACGATTTGATTCATAACATTTTCATCCAACATCCTGTTTTCTTCTCTTTTCTTCTACCTCCTTGCCCAAATCAAGACTGAAGGGCTTTCAGGTACGTCAGACCAGAGTCTGGTGCACTTCACATGGCTATCTCATGGGCTTCTCAAGCTCTATCAGTCAGCTCCTCATCGCGGGGACCAAATTCCTGGTGTACACACCTTAAAGGAGGAGAGGTTTATTTTGGCTCATGAATTCACAGGTTTCATCCACGTTTGGCTGGCTCCAAGGACGAAAGGGCATTGTGGCAGTGCCTGATGGAGGAAAACTGCTCAGCCCATGGCAGCCAAGAAGCGAGTGAGAAGGAAGGAGGGTGAGAGGGGGAGGGAGACAGGCCTCCTCCAACCGCAGACCCCACTCGATTGGCCCACTGATGAGGTTAGCACCCTCGTGATCCCATTGTCTTCTGAAAGCCCCACCTTGAACACATGAGACTTTTGGGGGACATTTTAGATCTAAAGCATTTTGCATTAGTAACAGTCAGGAAACAGCCCCAGAAGTCTTGTGTCTTGCCCGCCTCTCCCTGCTGGGTGGGGCAGGTCTGCAGGGCCTCTGCACGACGCCATGCTCTCCCTGCCTCTAATGGCTCTGGGTGAGACACAGGGGCACAGGAAACAGCAATGTCTGGGCATCAGGAGGGCTGGGACTCCCATGGCTGGGCCTTCTCTCTAACCACCTGTGTCACCCTGAGCAGGTGCCTCACATCACTGGGTCTCATTCCTTCATCAAGAGCTAAGCTCTCTGCCTTCTTAGTCCTGCGAGTCCCTAAGTGCTTATGTGTCAATTTCTGGTAAGGAGAGACAAAAAAGCTGGCATCTGGGGAAGAACAGCTTTCTAACTCACCGTGGAACTTAACGTCCGCTCTGTTTGTCCCTGGCCACGATCATTACTGATAGCAAACAAGCAGATCATGGCCTGGGAGGCAAGGCTGTTTGAGGTATCCCAAGCCGGCTCTGCTGTAGCTGGTTTTGAATAAGCAGCTGCAAAGCTGCTAATTGGATTCAGCAAGCTGCTGAGTCACTGTCGTGTAAGATCAAGTCGCTCTGTGCTGATGGCGAGGCCCATCCTGTCAGCGGCTGAGAACGTTTCTTTGTGATTAAGAAGACAGGGGTGTGCAGAGACACACCGCAGATCGGCTTTCACAATTTATGATGAGTAATTAAAATCTAACAGGCTACAATTAGAAAGCATCCACCACAACCTTATTTTGCCATTTGTCTTTTAATTAAATACGTCCCGTGATTTAGCTCTAACTCTGCACAGAGAACTGGGTGCCCTGATGTATTGGTTATGACATCTTGGAGGAGGAGAGCAGAGAGAAGAAGCTTAAGTGTTGTGCATAAATCACTGATCTTTCCCTTCTCTGGATCTTCCGACATCACAAGGGCAATGTTGAGAGAGGCTGGGTCCTCCCACCCCAACCCTAGGTACCGCTGGGCACTCAATGAATCCAGGGGAGCTCCGAAGAGAGCAGGACAGAGCTGACTGAAGAATGCCAAGGTGGCAAGTGGAGAAATGGATCATTATGTCATTAAAAAAGAACTGTTTCGTGAGTACTTTAGCACAAATCAGGGTGCAAGAAATATTTCCTAAATGGAAGAAATTCAGAGTTCTTTCTCATGCTATCAATGGCTTATCACAAATGAGCAATGACAGTGTGTGTCATGGCCAAGGTCACTGGAATCAGAGCCATAGAACATGGTGTGGGGAGCAAGAGTCTTTGGGGAGGCCCTGCCATGCTGTTCGAGCTGGGGTGCTGCCACTAGGCCTGCCATGGAGCTGGAGGTGGGCAGAGGACAAGCATTCATTCATCTGCCTCACTATCTGGAGTTGGATGTAGGGGGAAATACCCAACTCTAGAAACTTAGGAAGGATCCATGACTTACTATTTTTAAAGGATTTCTCACCAGAATGAGTGCTGATGAGGACTGAATTAAAGGCAGTTGATGTAACAGCTCACTGTTGAGCTTGCTTTTTGCTCGGTAAGAAAAAGTTGTCTATTGCTTGCTGGGAATTTACTATAATTTTCATTATTTTATCAATCATCAATTGGGCAGGAGAGCAGCATCTGACCCCCAAGCTGGCAAGCACTATTTGCCTCATAAATTAGAAGTTGGACAGGAAGTCCAAGTCCATTGGCCTGAATCAACTGACTGGCCTTGTTGGCTTTCGTCCCTAGAGTGACAACAGAAGGTTCAATTTCTATGATTTCTCAAAGTATGTAATAACTTATGTGTAGGAAGCTCCCCTATGCGAGGGAAATGAGTCAAAACATTCCAGGTTGAGTTACCTGGGGGCCTAGTAAAGCAATATCCAAAGTGGTGGTGAGTAAAGACCTAGAAATCCTAAAAAGAATGGGTTCACCAAAAAATATGCCTTGAGATGAGGTGAAGGATTGAAAAGACAATCTATTAATAGTCATTGTTATAACTTGTATCTAGATGTCCTCCCAAAGCCCCATGGGCTCATAGCTGGAGCTTTTGAGAGGTACCTGGATTATGGGTGTGTGATGCTGGATTAAGAGTGAGTGATACTGGATTAGTCCACTGATTGGTTCAGCATAGTTCTGAGTGTGGCTGAAGGGATTTACTGAACACAGAAGCCCCATCTTTAGTGTGAGTGGCACCAACCAATAGGTTTGTAGCCTGGATGGAATATAATAGGAAAGGGAGGCTGCTGCTTCCTGCATACCCTGCCATGGACTGTTTCTCCTCTGTGATGCACCTCTGCCATGCCACACTGCCTTGGAGCCAGCCAACCATGGACTGAAACCTATAAACTGTGAGCTAAAATAAACCTTTCCTTGTTTAACTTGTGGGTGTTGGGTATTTTGTCCCAGAAACAAGAAAGTAATTAAGAGAGGTTTGGCTTTTTAATATGACCTAGACATCCTTCCCAGATAGAAAAAGGAAGTCATCAAGAAACTTCCTCAATTGCTCCCACTAAACACACAACTTGCCCCACATCTGTAGCAATCTTTTTCTTTCCCTTCTGCCCCTTATCCCACCTAAGGCTAACAAATCCCATCATGACAATATGCCTTCTACTGCTTTCAAATCCTTGAGGACCTGTTTACCCACAATCCTTTCTTTCCCTGTATCTGCAGCCCTTCTCTCTCCTGGGACCCACCCTTCCCTCCCAACAGCCTTAGACAAGCCTAAGTCAATCCCACCTTAAAGCAGCTTGCTCTCCACAGGCCCCATCTCTAGGAATCACCATGAACTCTGACTTTCCAATCTTCCTGAACATCCATTTCACTGTCTCCACTGCCTCCCACTTTCTGGCCCACTGCAGTCCTGTCTGACTGAGATACCAAGCAGGGGCTGAAGTCCAGTTTGTGCGGTGCTTACCAAGCTGTGTGTCTGGCATGGGGCTGGGTCTGCATCCTGAGAGAGGGTCTCCTGGTCATCACTCTTATGGGGCATGTTCAGGGTTGCTGGGGACACCATTCTTCCTTCCTGCCACCCCACTCCATGTCACTAATTCCTGCTCACTCTGTCTTTTCTGGTTGAGAATGAGAGTCCCTTGCCCCCTCTCAATGCTTTCTGCTAACACTGCCAAGACACTGGTTTGTGACAGTCACTCACTGGTCTGTGCCTCCAACTCCCAGCCCTACCAATTCTCAAAAGCAGGGATTATACTCCTTTTGCTCACTGTGAGACCCAAAGTTCGGCCATGGCAAATGGACAGACTTCCTCACCCTGTGGAAGTCTGCAAAGTACACACTCACCACAGGCCCAGGACCCTCAGCCTCCCAAGAGCTGATGTGCTCAGCTGGTTGGGTCACGTGGTGGTGCTCCTAGGTATTGTCCTCTCAACAACTCTCACATCTTCCCCAATGCAGGGGAGGGGGCAGCCTGCAGCCTGTCAGTAGCTGCACTCAGGTTATAGCTTTGGGATGGGGAGGATAAATATTTTATGCCCTTCTTGCTTTGCAAACTATAAAAGTGCCAGAGGGAAGAAGACTGCTTGCTCTCAAAGGGGCCTTCAGTTTAGAAGGCTTATGCCAGGGTCAGAGGCCTGGGACAGCCTGGCCAGGTTTATCAAAGATGTCATGTGGCCCAGAGAACTTCCTTGTTCGTGTCATTCCCATCGGCAGCTTTATCTGTTCCAGCGGGGTCAGCACCTGTCCCCAGGAAGAGCCAAGAGCAGGAGGCAATGCAGAGATCCCCTCGCTGGCCTCCACCACCACCACCATCTGGGTGGGCACCTAGCTTGGTGAGCCACTGTGGCCTCCCTGTTTTGTCCCCCTGCCCCATCCTCCTCCAACCCAGTCTCCCTCTGTAGCAGATGTGATCTTGGGATAAAGACGATGTTGTGTCCCTCTCACTGCCCCTCCTCTGGCTCCTCAGTTGCAGTGACAGGCTTGGCATAGGCGCTGCCAGCCATTCCCATGCGCTGCTCCCCTGCCTGGACTCTTCTTGGACCACAGTTAGCCTGAAGGAAAGGAAGAGCTGGGGCCCTTCCTGCGGCCAGGACAGCTCTCCGGATGCATGTCCGTCCCTGTATCGAGGAAGGGAGCAGACTCTAGGGAGGGCAAGTTAGGAGCTCGGCTGGCTGTAAATTGAGCCATATCCTCTCATTTGCCCATGCCAGAAATAAAGCTGTGTCCTGATCTTCACCTGTCAGCATCCAATGTCTATTTCTCAATTACATCCACACGGGTGGAGGAAGAGGGATGCCATGTATTGGATGCCAGTTACTGTCGACCTCAAAACATCAACGAACTCAATCTGTCACTGTTCCAGGGTAAGCATATGTAGATCATCAGAAAGCAAAGCGTGGAGGATCCTAGTGTTTGCCCACAGGCAGCACTTCACTTGTGTTTGCTGAGTGAGGGAAGGGAAAGCATCCAGGACTGGCTGGTGAGAGGTGACTTATTTTTGGTTACTGTCCCAGACTCTGTCGAGGACTAGTGGTGTCCCTGAACACCTTGCTCATGCTGTCTGGGCCTCAGGCACAGTATTAGGACAAAGTGATACAGTGTAGTATTTAGCCTGCACTGGGAACCAATGCCCATTCTTGATGAGGAAATGGTCTTTATTTTCTCTTTACATTTTCTACACTGATGCTGGCTGTGCCCTTTGTACCAAACAGGTACAGGCTGTAATTGAGCCATAACCTCTCATTTCACTATGTCAGAAATAAAGCTTTTCCACTAGATATGGGTCCCCGAGACACTTATTTGTAGCCTTTGCTCAAAATGGGGGGTGTTTTATTTCTCAGCCAACTACAAAAGAGAGCGGTCCAGATGTCTACAGGAAAGGATGGGAGAGAAGGGGCAGAGTTTCAGGAGGCAAAGACTCTGGGTCTCCCAGCAGGGATGGGGCAGGAAGACCAGGGAAGATCCAGGGCGGCGATGGGAGAATTCCTGAGGCCAGGGGTGAATTGGCTCAAAAGCAGATTTGAACATTGTTAGAACCATTTTACTTTTTTTTTTGGTACCAGGGATCGAACTCAGGACCTTGTGCTTGTGAGGCAGGCGGTGGATGTTAGAGCCACTTTAGATAAGCTCTTAATCTTAAGAACTGGTCCAGGATGAAGCATAGAAAATTTAAGGCAGGAAGTAGAGAAAATGGGGCTTTGGATATAGATTTGAAAACCAACTGATCTCTAAATCCAATAATTAAAAGAGAGGCATCTTGGGAATCTATACAAGGGTTGATGTGGTTTGGCAGCCATGAGAAAGGGTTATTTAGTAACAATGAGAAGGCCGATAGACAGCCATCTGCTGACTCCGTCCTGTCTTGAGACTATGCGTGTGGTGGTGGCCAGAGGTGTAGCTCCTCTGAGTCTTGCTGCAGGGGACCCTGGTGGGTGACCCCACCCGTGATGGCATCCGGTCTCTAAGATGGTGCCCATGATCCCTGCCACCGGTATTCATGCCCTTGTGTTATTCCCCCCCACTTGGTGCCAAGGCTGGCCTGTGTGCTGATGGCATATGACGTATGTGACAGTAGATTATTCTCAATCCATGTCTATTCCCACAGGCTCTGACTTCAAAAACATTCTAAATCTGACCACTTCTTTTGGATGTAGTCAAAGACCACTACATGACAATCACCAGAAAGAACCACAGAAGGGGCAAAAACAGGTGGTACCCAAATTCCCAGAAAATCTCTACCTGTTCCCAGAAAATATGTGAATATTCCTCTGCCTGATTAGGTGATTCACCCCCCTCCTTCCTTTCACCCTATATTTACAGCCCCTGGAATCCCAGTGGGTCAAGAATTTCATTTGTGAGTCCAACTCCCAGTTGGCCAACAATAAAGGTCTTGTGCTGCTAAGCTGGTACTTGGTCTTGTTACTGGTTCCACAATTCCCAGACAGAAAAGGACCCAGTTTGGAATCAAAAACTGGTAAAATGAGCACAGTGTTTTCTCTCTAGTTTTATACACCACTGCCATCTCTCAGTGTGGAAAATGGGGTTAGTAAATACAAACCGATATTTACACTGGTCCCGCCTAAGTGACAGCCACTCTTTCAAGGACTGAGGGCACAGGATGCATAAGATTTGATATCTCCATCCTTGACCCTACTATTTGTCCAGCTTCTCCTGATCCAGTTTCTGGTCTCCCTACTCAGTCCTGCTGCTGCCACAGGCTAGGCTGCCCTCACTGAAGCCCAGACCTAAGGAGAGGCTGCTTTCGAAGAAGTCTTGGAGCACTAAGCACTCTGCCAAGCTACTTGGCTGGGGATCCTGAGTGACAGGACCTCAGTGACTAGGGGGAGAGAAAGCCACATGTGTATTACACTCAGCATGCACATAAAAGTTGGCAAGTAGATGAGAATCTGTCAGTGCCAAGCACACAAACTGGATACCATCAACACTGAACACACACACACACACACACACACTTTTAAGTCTCCTCTTCCAGGAACCATCTAAAGCCTACATGGCCATCACATCCCAGTCTTTGTTCTCAGGGGCAGGCTCTGACTGCTCCACCAGAAAGCTGCCTGGCTTTGGGCCGGTCTCAGCAGTGTAAAAAGATAATTATGTGCCGGCTGCCTGGGAATGTAAGGTATCAAACAGATTACTTTAGTAATTAAAATAATGAACAGAGTCATCTGGGCTGGAAGATACTTTTTGTCTTTTAAACTGAAGACCCTAAAGAAGGGATAAGGCACGAATTGGAGCGGGCCATCTGAGAGATCCTTCTCATAAGGACAGTGTGCCAGGCGGGGCTCCTCCCCATCACAGGCCTGGAGCTCTATTCAACGCGCTTTCCCCAGGGCTCTGAAGGCCCACAGGGCCCCAGAGTCCTCGCTCCAGTCTGCGATGTGGCTCTAAAGATCCAGGGATTCATTTACCCGGGTCTTTGACACAAACGGACATCCTGCGCCTTCTTCAAACAGACCTTTTCATTCTCCTGCCTTTGAAAAGCGCTAATGGTCAAGGAGAGGAGACAGACACAGGCAGAAATTGGTATTTACCCAGGGGAGATATCTGTGAAAAATAAGAGGCTGAAGGCACAGGCACAGATGGGGAGCGAGGCCGATTCTGCCCGGCTTCTGAAAGCCGGGGCGAGTGGCAGGAGCAGGGCTGAGGGAGAGAGAGGCAGTGCTGGGGAGGCCAGTGGCCCCTTCGGCCCCAGGGCTCCAAATCCACCCTGTGAGTCTGCACTTCCAGGAAACCTCTTCAGAGCCCACTTTCCCTGAGAAGCTGGCATCGAAAGAGCTGGAAAGTAGAGCAGGACTAATAATAGCCTCCCTGTGTCGCTGCCACCGCCCTGACTCAGAGGCAGTTTTATGGCACTTTTCTAGGACATCGCTGTACGGGTACCTGGGAATGTTCGTGCTGGCCTGATGTCCAGATCTGCTGACCCTGGTAAGTGCGTGACCAGCTGGGGAGAACCGCAGGGGTGCTCATCACCACTTCCTCTGCCACAACCCGAAACTGCCAAATCCAAACGGATCTCCACTGGGCCATTACCCTTACAATTGTTCATTATATTACATATTTATATTGTACACATTTCTCTGTGTGTGTTATATTTGGCAACAAAAAGGACTAAAACTTCTATCTTATTTCATTTCATCCTATTTTTTGAAATTAAGGTGTTTTTTTTTTCCTGGAACGGGGATTGAACTCAGGACCTTGTGCTTGCAAGCAGGTAAGGTGTCACTGAGCTACATCCCCAGCCCCTCATCCTATCTATTTTTGAGACAGGGTCTTGGTATATAATCCAGGCTGGTCTCAAACGCCATCCTCCTGTCTCAGCCTCCTGAGTATCAGAATTACAGCTATGTATCACCACGCCCTGTGGACTAAATGTGCCATCTCTCTTGCAGTTTCCATGGCTGTGTGCCAACCATAGGGCTACCTTGGAGCTCAGGGGCACATAGGAGAGGCCCTGAGCACCTGCCCTGTACTCTGGCCTTCAGGCACTTGGACTCGAAGGCAAAGCATCCACGTGCTTCCTCCTGCCTCCCTGGACCATGACTGCCTTCCCCCTGGTGGGCTGGGCAGGATTTGGGAGTGGATGGAAGCCCCTGGGCAGGAGACAGGTGCAGAAATCGCTCTTGCATCCCAGCTCTGCACCTTCCAAATCCCAACACCCGGGGGTGATATGGGTGCCAGAGCCTCTGCTCCCCCATCTGTGGGTGGAGACAATCACAGTTTGCTAGCAGGCTGATGGGAATCAGGGCTAATGCACTGTCAGCTGGGGCAGCAGGTTCCCACTCCTAGGAGCCTCAGAGAACCCAAAATGGTGTTGGCTCAGACCTGCTCCTACAAGTTCAGGGCAGGCAGGAGCTGCCCCACAGCAGTGCCCCTGGCTCCATGCTCTGCATCTTTTCCCTCTCTGCTCTCAGCAGACGGCAGTGCTGCCTCCAGCTCTCTAGCCACAGGTCTCCTCATAGGGGAAAGCACCCTCCCTGAGTGCTCTCAGATGGAAACACTTGTAGGACCTTCTCACTCACCCTAAACCAACTCCTGTCACATGGGAAGTGCAGTGCACTGACTGGCTTAGGCCTGGGAGAAAAGCGGGCCAGGGCCCCAGGGTGTTGGGCCACTGATCACTAGGCTAGGGTGGAAGGACGCTGAGGGGATGCCCAGCAAGTATTACATCTATGTAGCATTTCCCCAACAATTAGCAATCAATAAATGGAGACTATTACTGTGTATAAGTGTAAATAACTAACATTAATTAAACACCCGTTGACAAAATAAATACCTCTGTGGTTCAAGTCCTCTAAGGAGAACTGCAATAGTTTGGATTTTAAAGTCTCCTAAAGATCCACAGGGGCAGTCTTGATGGCCAGCTTTGGTGCCCTATTGGGGGGACTGTGGGAACTCTGAGAGGTGGGGTGTAGAGAGAGGTGTCCAGTCATGGGGGTGCCCTTCAAGGGGATTGTGGGACGCGAGTCTCTTCTCTTTTGGTTCAGACATAAGGTGAAAGAAGAGTTCCACCTCATCATGGGCTCCCCACCATGACACACTATCTTTTATAAACCTAAATGCAAGAAGCCAACAGCCATGGACTGGAACTTCCAGAACTGTGAGCCAAAATACACCTTCTGTCCTTCTAAGTGGATCATCTTGGCCATTTTGTTATAGTGCCTGAAAGCTAATATGGAGTGACATAGCTACCTTTAAACTCAGCATGTTTTCAGTGACTGTGCTTTCCAGGTCTCTATGGTCTCTATGCGCAACCATCTCTCATATGAAGCGGCCTTAACACGGAAACACCTTTGGTGCCTTGTGAGCCTTCAACAATTGCATTAGGAGGAGCAAGGTCTTTTTCTCAGCCAGGCTCGTTCCTGATCACATGCTAGCATGAAACCTCATGAGGCTGCTACAGAGCAGGGCTTTCCCCTTCTCATACTTGAGCTGCTTTGTACAGTTGCAAAGAGACAGCAGAACTCAGAACACTGATGATGAAGTGCTTCTATAGATGAGTACAAACGCTGTGGCCTTTCAGCTGCCCAGAGAGAGGGGATCTAAGACCTTGGCCAGATCAGCTGCCCTCCAGGGCTTGTAGCCCATGTCCCCACAACACAGAGGGCTATGGGTCCCAGTCTTAGGGCTAAGGTAGAGGAAGGAAGGTCTCCATGGTTTCTACTGTGACAATTTGAGAGACAAAAGCCACCCCTTAAATCCATCAAGGGAGCATTATTTCATTTTTAAAAATCAATCAATCAATTTATTTATTTGCAGTACTGGAGAGTAACCCAGGCCACGCTGAACTAAATCCCAGAACCTTTTTATTTTTTATTTATAGACAAGCTCTTGCTAAGTTGCTAAATGGCCCAGGCAGGGCTTACACATGATTCTCCTGCCTCAGCCTCCCATAGTGCAGGAAGTATAGTTGTGTACCACCAAGCCCCGATCCATCAAGGGAATTTTAGAGATAAGAATGGTGAAAGGCTTAAATGGGGCTCAAGTTGTTATCTAATAAGATATTGAATCTCTAACAGATTTGCCTCAAGGTTCTCAAGAAGGCTTAATATTATAGTTGGAAGAAATTTTCAAAACTCAAATAAGTAGATGCAACTATCAGGCAGTGAAAACTGATGCTGATATTGATGTTTTAGATCCACAGATTCTGCCCTGGCCCCTGATCTTTACATAGTAGTCTCCCCTTACCCACTTCCTGAAATTTTCAATGGAGGTCTGAAAATGGTAAATGGAAAATTCCAGAAATAAACAATTCATAATTATAGACAAATCTTACTGCATATATTGCTATGATGGTTCTATTTTATTATTGTTTATATATTACTGTGGCTGATTGATTTATAAATTAAACTTTGTCATTGATATGCATGTATGGGAACAAATAGTAGCTATATACAAGGGTTTGCTCTGCATGATTTTAGGAACATCTGCAAACGCATGGCCCTCAGACAAAGGGGGTCTACTGTGTACACCCCCTTCCTCACCTCAGTACATATGCACCTGGCTGGGAGGCAAAAGCATCAATTCTCTGAAGCACTGTGACCCCATTTCTCAGCAGGGCTGTGCACACTTGCCTTTCTTTTTATATTCCTTCAAAGACTTTTCTTTCTATTTTAAGTAACTCTTATGGGATAGGAAGTTTACCTGTTTAGGACAGTGTCATCTGACTCCTGTTTCTGAAGTCCAATACCCTAAGACACATCCTGCTCTTTGCAGACACTCAGAAAAGCAGGGGAAGTAGGGGAGGGGAAGAGGTATTGTAGGATAAGAAAGATCAACCAACTAACCAAACAAAGAGTGAAAAAATTCTACCAGAGAAAGAGTAAGAGGAAAAGAAAACTTCATTAGTAAAATCCTCATGGAAGTCAGCACTTAGAACATGCTACAAACAATGGAAACAAATAAAATGTACTTACTACAACCTACTGGAGTTTCTGAGAATTGTCATCCCTTCCCCTACCTCATCCTTTAGACTAAACTCTGTTCTTCTGTAGAAACTATGATTATTTATTTTTCAGAAAAAAACATACTACTGTGTGTGATATATATGGTAATTACGTTTTCCTTGGGGAATTGGTCATATACATATTGCATCTTGATCATTTTCATTCCCCAACTTCCTCCCTCCTTCCTTTGGTCCCCTTCCCATCTCGAGTCTATCTCCCTGTTTCTAATCATCTCTGACTTTAAAAAAAAATTTTTTTTTCTATTCAGTGTATTGGTACATTTTAGGTATAAAATACAGTTGCATTCATCATTGGGATCTTGTACCATTACATGAGTATCTTGGTTCTCATTTTTTTCCCCTTCCCTGGCCCTCCC